TATGGGCAATTTGAATTCGGGCGGCACCTGTTTGATTTGGTAAGATAGGTAAGAATAAATAGAACATAAGTTTCTACAACGTCGCTAGCGAAGTGTGTGGACACAGATTGAGGCACATCATCATCAACATCAATTCACTTAGTCCTGGGTCACGATTGACAATCATAATGACAATGACAACGACGACGACAACGGCAGCTGCTGCACACAAATGCATCTCCATGTTGTAGGTGGGGGCAGTTGAGCAAAGCAAAGCATTAGCCAAAGAACTACATAACTTAGAAAGGGGCACTAACTACCGATTTGTGGAACTCTTAATGTAACCCAACAAAAGAAACGCCCTAAAACAAACCATAAATACAACATTTTTCGAGTTCAAAATTATTTTGTATAAATTAATTATACGAAAGTATTCTAATTCTGATTTCACTTTGTTTCATTAGAAAATAATATGTACATAACTATTCAAGAAACCAATTTAATATGTTAAATTAAAAAAAATCTTTAAAAATCTAGATTTCGAGACATAATCCTCCTAGGATATCAACAGACTTTGTGGTTAGGTATCGAATAATATCACCTAGGTGCACAACGTAGAGGTATTAAAGGGGTTAAAGAGTTAATGCCGTGTACTTTTGAAGTTTTATACATTACTGATTTATTTTGCTTCAGTATCCTTCTTGCCAAAATTTCTTCTTTCTTTTGATATACACAAATCGCTGCGTGTCAGATATATGTTATTATGTTTTGTTTGTTTTTTTTTTTTTTTTGTTTTTCATTTCAAGCAATGTTTATTTCTTGTATAAAATAAAAGACAACTTGATGACAATTGTTTAAGTATTTTCTCTTTTATTGCAATTTTCTTTTCGATTCTTTTGTGTATTTTATATACTTCAAGGTATCGAGGAAAAAGAAGAATAGAAGTATATAGTAAAAGTCTTACCTTGTAGAGGATAAATCAGTCTCTGCTTAAAGCCCAAGTAAAATTTGTAAATTGAATTACGTTAGTTTCTATTTTACAGTTTAAATGCAAAAAACCAATAGATATTAGTTTCGCTTCATCTATTGGTTTTTTTTTTTTCTTTTTGGTCAAACAACCCAATTTATCTTAAGAGAACGTGTGCTTCGAGATATTATCAAAGAAAATCTGGTTTAAGAGTGTAATATATCTGTGATGTATTATGACGCTTTGAACACAACATTCTTAAGGCGAAAAGTCCATCGATATTACTGACAGCTCTTTATTTTTTTTTTAAATAAGACCATAAGAAAGAAAATATATGAATATAGTCCATATATAAATGCTCTTATCTGTCAGACCTTCTTAACCACGGTTGCCGTAAGAGGTTCAAATGAATAACCTCAGATATTTGATAGATTTAACGGAAAAAGGGAAATTTGTTCTAAAATTTATTGTCTTCTGTACTTATTATCACATATTACATCTATATATACCAACATTTTCACCTTTCCATAGTCTCTATGTGCAAATATGCTAAATGTACAAAGATAAGCATCTACCTTCAATTTAGATTGAAGACTTTACGAACAGAATACGAAATACGATTGTATAATTTACATTCAGTAACGTAATCATCACATTTTTTGTAATATATCTAAAGCGGTGGCAACCGTGTTATAAATTTTGAACACTCGTCGTTATTGATGGCTTTTCAACTAAAGAACTATCGTGTTTTCCCTAAGGCACCTAGCACACTTTGGACATGGAGATCATATGTTAACACAACTGCCGTGCGATTGGCGGGCGGCATTCGTGCGCAGGACTCGGATCACTTTGTTCATGTATATGTTTCAGTATGTCGGGTGGGTATGTATGTGGGTGTGTGTGTGTGTGTGTGTGTGTGTGGTCTATTTGTGTGGGTGTTGTAGCTGTTTAAGTAATTATGCTTTATTTGTTAACCTGGCTGATGTGATATTCCACCACGCGCACAATGACATGGGCATAGTTGATATTCTCCTCGGCAAGCATGGTGAGCATATTGATGAGCGGCTTGCTATTGCAATTCAAATCCGTTAGACTGGATAAATACTCTTCGCCAATGCGGCGTGCATCCTCCGGATACGATTGGAATATATGATCCATAATCAGGCTTTCTTCTTGAATTCCTGTGGCTTCTCTTATATTCCGTATCACGATTTACAAAAAAATGCAGTTGTTAGCTGAAATTGAAAAATTAACAACAAAAAAATAAAACGAATAAAATAATATTTAGCAAATATGCTTCATTTATACACCGCATATGATATACATATATGTTAACACACAAACATATATATATATATACATTTTCCGCAAACATCCCTAGTCATGTGGTCAAACACAAACATTTTATGACCATATACAACAAAGAAATAATACACACAATAATGCCTACATAAAGTAATTGTTGATGTGGCTTCGCACCTATGAACACAAAACACATGTAAACAACTACACGCAGCCAACTAAATAAATTTATATATATATATGTACATACACATACATACTGTTCATGGGCAAACAATAAACACACGGGCAACGGGGCTAGGGGAAGTTTTTTTCTCAGCAAATATTCAAAATGGCGGCCACCAGACATGCAAACACGCATTTTTTCACTGTTGCAAATATCATTGTTCTCAGACAATTCTATATTTTATGCACTTTAAACGTTTAAAATTGCCAAATAGACACTTATGATAATTGAATTATTTGCTGAACTTTGCATTTTAATATTTTTTCCCACATTTTTGTTGCTGCAGCCACGTTTATACTGTACACGCACACGTTTACTTATAAAAAATACAATTAGCACGCTTACGACACGCTGGCAAACATACCTTTTAATATTAATACATTTGTACAATTCGTTTAACGCACTTTAATGAAGTGAAAAATATTTATTAAACACTTTTAAACTAAACAAAATCAGCCTTTGACAACTTTTTCACGTAACAACTGCGATGAATTTGATGAGTGTGCACTAGTGATGCGAATTGAGTTTAATAACCACATTGACGCGATTATACTGCTGATATCGATAGTACGTGAGAATGTGGCATGCAAAAATATCGCAACGATTTACAATTTTAATATCGATATTGGGTCAACTTTCTACTGGCAAGTTGGCAGCACAGCTCCGAACAACCAGCTGTTGATTGATAGGGACAACAAAGGGGCGATAGATCTGGCCAAACCAAATAATTAATTTAATTTCATATACAAACTTCGCCAAAAATGGACGAGAGCGAAACATATGTGCACAGCGCCTACCAGGTATCGATAATTCCAACGGATCTACATCACGAGGAAACTATAATCAGAGCAGCACAGTCGCTCGACTGCCTAAACAAAACAATAAACTCAATTTTCGGCCGCATCGATGCTCGATTAGAAAGAAATGGTGCCAAGGTTCAGCATATAAATGACCGTGTCATGCGTGCGCAGGCAAAAATTGATGCTCTCGTTGGCTCCAAGAAGTCTATTAAAATCTTTGCGCCCGCACGTTTTCCTGGCAGCGCCATATTAAAAAACATACCGGCCACTTTTCCCCCGCTGGTACAGAAGCCAATGGAAACGCCAACAACAACAACAACGGAGCTGCCACAGCGCCGGCATCGCAATCGCAATGCTGATTCTTCCAGTGAGCAGAACTCCGCCGCGGACATTGACTCGGTATTCTTTCATGTGCGTGGCGAGGATCAGCAGGAGACGCCACTGGTTAAGGAGCGCCAGCGCACCAATCGCATAGCCGGCCTGGGGAGCTTGCCAGCTGCGAAATCGGTGCCGGCGCTGATGCGTTTTAATACCAACGAATTTGCCTATGGCGGCGGCATCAATGGCACCGAAGATTTGAATGCTTGGAAGCGCGCCCTACCGCCACAAGGCCACAAGCGCACCGTTCACAAGCCAAAGCCGATTGGTACGGAGCTGTTGGCGCCGGCGCCACACTCATTGGCTCATGGCACCACAAAGCTGGCAACCCCCGCCGGCGATTTGCGTTATACGCCAGCAGCGCTGGCAGCGCCGGCGATAGATGTGCCACTCGATTTGCCCGATCTGCCGGGCATTGCCAATGACTTGCAATACGAGCCTGTCAAGGAGCAGACACCCATTGCGCCGTCGCATCAGTTTGTTGATTTGCCTGAATTGCCCGGTCTGATGGAGCCTGCGGCTGAGGTACCTGTGAACTTGGACATAACGGTGCAAGCAATAGCGGCACAAACGCACATGACCCGGAAAAGTAACCCAACGGTTGTGCCACCAAATATGCTACAAGCTCCACCACCGCCGCCACCACCACCACCGCCACCACCACCGCCGCCGCCACCCCCACCCGCTCAACCAGCAGCCAAGCTGCCAACTGATGGAGTTATCAAACCCATATCGCCGTCGTTGGAAACACCTTTAAGCATACCAGATTCTCGTGCACCACCACCAGCCGATCCGCGTTCTGAGCTAATGGCTGCCATACGCAACGCGGGTGGTGTACACGGGGGTCGTTTACGTTCACCGGCCGCTGCGCCTGTCAATGTGGATGCTGTGGACACACAAAATGTGCACAACACAAGCCGTTCTAGAGCCGGCGGCGCTGCAACAGGTGGTGATCTCATGGCGGATCTGCACAATAAACTCATGCTACGCCGAAAGGGAATCTCGGGCAGTCAAAATTCTGCCGATCAATCGGGGAATCCCATGATGCTGCAACTGTCGAAAATAATTGCGGCGCCAGTAGAGAAGAATAAAGGTTCCATGTCCAGCGATGAGGGCAATTCCGAGGACGATGAAGACGCTTGGGAGTAGTAATAAATCGAATTAGAATTAAATTAGTTCCAGCTATGTGCCTTGCTTTAAGCATTAGTAAAAATTATTAAAAACCATTTTGGGCAGATCGAGCATAACAATTGAGATATTACATTTTTGAGTGTTGCAAAGCGCGGGAACATTTTTCTGAGGTTTGCTTATGTCCGCATGCGTAATTTATCGATAAATATGTATCGATAACAACAAAGACATTGCAACGATGTCCAGTGCATCGCGTGATATAAATGATTTGTTTGACGAAATAGTGCTTACCGAGGAGAAACACGCTCGTCTGGGCTATTCTGAGGGCATCCGTGACGGCCGTGCTCAGGGCAACCAGGAGGGCTACCAACTTGGCTACGCTCAAGGTGTGCAACTTGGCGAAGAATTGGGAGCCATTTACGGCCAAGTGGTGGCACAACAGCAGCTACCACACACGAAAAAGTTGCTGCGCACTTTGCAGCAGCTGCGCGAGCTCATCGAACAGTTTCCGCGGAACAATAACCCAGAGGCTGATATCATTGGCGCTGTGGAGCAAATACGCACAACGCATCGGCGACTGTGCGCTTTGCTGGGCACCAAAAAGGTGGCTCTGCAGAAACCCATCACGCACGAGCACAAGGATTTCAGTTTCTAGAAGCAACAACATGAGTTATCTGGGCGATTTACACCAGCGCCTCGATGAGGTCTTGTCATTTTTAGAACCGTACTGGAATTTTGCAAATTGCCACATGGTCAACTACATAGTTGACAATCATTGGCTGCACATGATGCCCCAGTCGCTAAGAGCTGAGCTAAAATCTGTTGATCATGTCAAACAAGCCATACACACATTTCTTTCGCAAACAAATTCGCCGCAGTTTCCAGCACTGGCTCAATTTTCAGAAACATGCAAGCATCAGCGATTGGCCAGTTGCCCGCAACTATTAACCAGTGTGGAACAACTGGGGCAACTGCTGCCCGCCACAATGGAGAAACATTTGATCATTAAAGAATTTATGAGCGCTAAAAAGTGCCATGAGGTAGGTGCCAAATGCTACAATTTAATAAATGACAGTTTAAGTTGGATTCGAAGCTTGATATACAGTAAAAGCTTCAATAAAGGACAGCTTTTTTGAGAGGGCATCTGACATTTCGTTCTCAAAAGCTCGAAACGCGTTTGCATAGCAACCGAAGACAAACATAGCTTTAGACTCGAATATGTATATATTAATCAGATATACATTTTTTATACTTTCTTTTATCAGGTGGATCAGACGGCGGCATTGGTGAATCAACTGGTGCGAAGCACAACTCCAGAGGCAAGCGCCACATGCTACATTGTGGATGCTGGCGATGGAAAAGGATATCTCTCATCGAGATTGGCGCTACAGTACGGACATTACGTGCTTGGTGTTGATGCCAAAAAGTCAAATACTGAAAGTGCCCTTGCACGCAATCGCAAGCTGGAGGTATGTTTTTCTATTAGATAATTACACAAGTTTTATTTCATTTCTTTTGGATTCTTAATGCTAAGTTGCTTTTGCTTATGACGTCTTGTACTGAGAATGGCGCCCACTTTAGTGTCGCATTTGTTTAATCACGCATTTCACCCTCCTCGTCGTCATCCTCCATGCCTTTTATGTAGAGCACATTGTTGCAGCGTATCAGCACTTCGCCTAGATTGCCCGTAACGGAGCCCTCGATGACTTCCTCGGTGTTAGCCAGCTGCATGTTCATGTAGCCATCGACGGATACAAGAAAACCTTTGTATTCCTGGCCCCATTTCAGTTTTACGAGCACAGGCTTGCCGGTTAGACCATTTAGAAATGGTTTGGGATTGATGGGCATGCCAGCTGACATATTGTTTGTTTATTTTATCCAACTTTTATGAAATGGAAAAAACAAATACGCGTATTTTTTTTACCGGCTAAAACGTTTTCGCGTCGTGCACAAAGCAAGAAGAAGAAACTTGACAGCTGCGGCGTAGCGCTGTTGAATAAATATCGATATATCGATAAATATACGCATTGCGTTTAAGGTGCAGTGCTGAAAAGTGTGTGTTGTGCTAAACTATTTTTATGAATTTGTTTAACAGCACCTTTTTTTTTTTGCTGTTTATTTGAATTAGCGCGCCTGGAATGGCCTAACGGAACGCGCCGAGCTACAAAGCCAAGGCATAAGACCATCAAGACGCGGCAAAAAATCGGCCACAAAGGAAACACCAGTAAACAGACCAGTTCAGAACAAATACAAAACCACGTCAAGATTCATTACCACAGAATTGAATCTGTGTGATTTAGTAAAAGAGCATTTTGAGCAGGAGCCGAATGTAACTAAGCCCAGAATATGCCTAACGGGTCTACACACCTGTGGCAATCTGGCTGCGACCTGTTTACAGGTCTTTCATGCCCAGGACAACTGTCGCGTGCTGTGTAATGTTGGCTGCTGCTATCATTTATTGCGCGAACGCTATTCGCAGCAGGAATCCTATGAAAACAAGGCATTGATGGAGGAGTCAACTGATTATGGATTTCCCTTGAGTCGTTATTTACAGCAGCGTAGTGTATGCTTGGGACGCAATGCGCGTATGCTGGCTGCTCAGTCCATTGAACGCACCTTATCGTCCAAGGAGCTACCGAACATAACGCTCTACTATCGCGCACTGCTCGAGATTTTGATATGCCGCCGTGCACCGCACTTGAAGAATAAATTAAAGGTGGGCAAAGTGCACAAATTCAATAATTTCTTTGAATATGTGAAAATATGCGCGAAGAAGCTAAATGAGCCCTGGCTGGCAGCTGTAGGCGAAGCAGAACTAGAGGCATTGCTGCAGCAGCACGATGTAGATTGGCATTATCTGTCCCTATTCTATCTGCTGCGCATGTCCTTTGCGCCGGTGCTGGAAAGCGTGATACTTCTAGATCGCTTGCTGTACCTCAAAGAGCTGGGCTATGAGCACAGTTTTTTGATTGATCTATTCGATGCGGTTATATCACCAAGACACTATGCAATAGTTGCTTTTAAGCCTTAGATGCTGAAGAGCCACACGCTATAGTGCTATGAATTTGAGATTTATTGAATAGTATTTAAATCAATTGGAAAAGCGTGCAATGAAACGTCATATAACTGTTAAACTCAACTTAGAATCATATAAATGTTTTTCATTTTCCCATTTTAATAGTAAAACTGTCAATCATTTGTGTTTAAGTGCATAGTAAATATAAAATTACTAGTCTTGACATCAATCTATCTGCCTATGCAATCTATTAATAAGCTGTTGCTGTTGTATTTTATTTTTATTATCAGCCTTTAACTCGTTATACCCTGTGTATATTGAAAATATGTAGATGGCTAAAATTAAGTTGTTTATAAAGGAAAGAAAAGGCTTATTTGAACTTTAATTTCACATTTTCTTGCGGGTGCATCTATATTTATATATATATATATACAATCTGAAAACTAAATAGAGATGTAGTATTAGACGCAGCTAAATCACTTTATCTATATCACTATATCTCAATTTCATTTTAATTTTCGTTGTATACATATATGCTGTATTTCTTCCCTTAGAATAAATAACTTAATCATTTTTCTCGATAAGTTACGGTCCTTGTTACCCAGCATGTGTCGAGAGTGTGCATACATAGAACTAATTGCAGGGTAACTGCTAGTTGTGCACACTCCAGTGGAGCACTAATACTTGTGATTGCTTGTAATCTATTTGTAATCTTTGACAAAGATTTTCCTATAAAATGCGCACTAAAATTCTAGTTTAGCAAGTGTTATTCCAGACGCGGCAATTGTCGCACGTCGAACATTTTTAAATATAAACACAAATCTACTAGGTCAGTTATGTGCAAATTATAATTGTGAAAAATGTGCTCAAATAAAAATGTAAATTTACGCTTTATAAAAGGATACACAAGAGCAACGTATATGGATAAAAGATTTGGAATTCGCATTAAAAAACATAACGCTTTTGTGGATATAAAAAGAAAATAAGCAGATCTATTAATACCTTTTTGAAGGAACCATATTCGCGACCCTATCATAACAATTTCTCTGTCGGGTGTGAATTGTATAGAAAATTATATAGAAAAGTTGTTATAAAAAATAACTCTGTAGAAGTGTACACTTAAACTTCTAAACTGTTTTTTGCAATGCGTACAAACATTTTCAGAACAATGTGCCATCAACAATTTAGCAAAAGGTTCATAAGCCCCAAGCTTGTTGACCCTCTAAACATGAATTAAATAATAATTATAAATGATTTATGCTCAATTATATGTCGTGTGTCTGTATAGATAAGAGCGAAAACAACAACAAATATACAAATATAATGCTTTATGAGTGAATTTTTTGTTTAGCCTTTCCAAAAATGAAACCAAATTCACGACGTAACTTTTACAGACCCCAAAATGGCTTTAACGGAGGCGCTTTTTCTCATTGTGGGCGCTCTGAGCGCTATTTACCTGTGGTTCCAGCGCAATCACAGTTATTGGCACCGCAAGGGTTTGCCCTTCATGCCGCCCTCGCCCATTATTGGCAATACTGCGTCCGTGTTCAAGCAGGAGAGCTCGTTTGGCATGTACATCTCGAAGGTGTACAGTGAGCCAAGGATGCAGGATGAGGCCGTTGTGGGCATCTATGTGATTAACAAGCCAGCTCTGGTCATTCGTGAGCCAGAACTTATCAAATCCGTGCTAATCAAGGACTTCAATCGTTTTTCCAATCGCTATGGACGCTGTGATCCGCATGGCGACGCGCTGGGCTCCAATAATTTGTTCTTTGTGCGCAATCCGCAGTGGAAGGAGATACGCACTAAGTTGACACCTGTCTTTACCAGCGGCAAGGTGAAGCAAATGTATCCACTAATGCTGGAGGTGGGTAGTCACGATCATAGAGTTTGGTTAAGTTTGTTAAAGTGAATATTTAAAACTCCGGGCTTTGATCAAAACCAATCTGCATTCTTGGATTAAGATACGACCAAACAAATCTAAGTTTAACAATTTATATAGATAGCTGCGGATCTGGAGTCACATTTGGCCAGACATCGTCCAGCACAGGGTACCGAATACATAACAGAAGTCAAGGACATATGCGCAAGATTCACCACGGATTCAATTGCTACCATTGCATTTGGAGTGCGCGCAAACAGCTTGGCAAATCCTGAGGCCGAGTTTCGCAACCAAGGACGTAAGGTTCTCGGGGCCAGTCTATCGCGCAGCAAGGATTACTTTGTTGCCTTTTTTATGCCCAAGTTGGTATCATTGCTTCGCATTAAGTTCTTTACGGAGGAATATTCCAATTTTATTCGCAACACTATCAACCATGTGATGTCGGAGCGGGAGGGCACGGCCACTGTGCGCAACGATCTAATTGATGTCCTAGTTGGTTTACGCAAGGAGGCCGCCCTGGACCCCAGCAAGCCGCATCTGGCCAACAACAATGACTTTTTGGTTGCTCAAGCAGGTGTTTTCTTCACGGCTGGATTTGAAACCAGTTCGTCTACTATGGCGTTTGGTCTGCTGGAGCTGGCCAAGCAGCCGGAACTGCAGGAGCGTCTGCGTCAGGAAATCAATGAAGCTTTAGTGGAGGAGGGAGGCAAGTTGAGCTATGAGAAAATCAATTCACTGGAATACCTAGCCATGGTGGTCGATGAGGTGTTGCGTCTGTATCCAGTGCTGCCTTTTCTGGATCGCGAATATCAGAGTATTCAAGGCCTGCCGGATCTGTCGCTGAAACCCTACTATGATTATAAGATGGAGAACGGCACGCCTGTTTTTATCCCTGTCTATGGACTACAGCGTGACCCTAAGGTGGGTTTGTGGAACTGGAATCCTGCTCAGGTGGATGGACAAATATATGATCTATTCTCTTTCAGTACTGGCCAAACCCGAATCACTTTGATCCCGAACGCTTCTCACCGGAGAATCGAAAATCAATTGAGCCGATGGCCTATCAACCCTTTGGTCTCGGCCCGCACAACTGCATTGGAAGTCGCATTGGCCTGCTCCAGGCCAAACTGGGTCTGGTGCACATCCTGAAGAATCATTATGTGCGCTGCTGCTCGCAGACTTCCAAGGATATTCAATTTGATGCGAAGACCTTTGTGCTGCAGCTGGATAAGGAAATGTTACTAGAGATTGTGAACGATAGACTTTATGATGAAAAGGCTGTCTGATTTCAGCTTTACGAGTTTGAAGTGAATTTACGTTGTGCGTAATTTAAAAACTTTAATTATTACTAACTTTGTAATAAACAAAATATATTTGGTGACAATTAAAATTAATTTTATTGTCGACAATTAAATGTTGTCTTATCTTATATAGAACAACCTATCCTTATCTAGGTTTCGTTTTATTTATTTTTTACTTATATAAAAGAAATATACGTGTTGATAATAAATGTTTTTGTTTGTCATCATGTTTAGAGATCGCTTTGTCATGCTTATGGGGGAAATGTTTAGGTCAGTGATTTTTATAACCTGAACCCATTGAAAATGGGTAAAAAGGGTATAATGTATCTGATCGAATATGTGTAACAAGCAGAAGAAACCATCTCCGACCCCATAAAGTATATACATTCCTGATCAGCATCAATAGCCTAGACGATCTAGCCATGTCCGTCTGCCTGTCCGCCTGTCCGTCCGTATGCATGAGCGTAAAAATCTCAGAGCTTATAAGATCTAGAAACTTTTAATTTTTGAATTTAGGTTCTTCTAGTGTCCACGCAATACGAGCTTGTTTCCGATAATCGGTTACTCGTCCTGTTTTTAAGTAAAGAATCAAAATTGATATCGAAATAAAAATGTTTGAAGAAATCTCTTAGGTTTTTAGAGCTGGAATTACCAAACTTGACATATAGCTTCTAAAATAGTGGGTATATATCAAGTATCTTGTATTTTATAGCAACCGCTACCAGCCCGCTTCCTTCACATAGATATAAATCAAGTAAAAACACCAATTTGTATTGGCCACCAATTTATTTTAAGAATACACGAATATTCTATAGTACAATAATTTCTACTGTTCATATTTTCATCAAGATCGGTTTAAAACACACAAAAGTTATCACAGAAAATGTGATTTAATTCATTTCTTTCTAAATTTATTTAATTGAATGTTTCCCGTTAAGTCTAAGAAAAAAACATTCACAGCTGCAGTCGAACATAATAAATTACACGGCATCTCCTAGTCTAGTATTTTTAAGTACAGCACTTGTACTTGATTCCGATTCTGTTTTTGTAATCTCTCAAACAAGATTTGCCTATAAAAACGCGCACACAGCAAACTTTTTGCAAGTGTTATTCTGAACTCGCTAATTGTCGGTACCTATAATCACGCACGGAATTTTTCGAATTATAAAAGTCTTTTCGGTCGGTTTGTGCAAATTCTAAGAGTGAAGTGCGCTCAAATAATAAATTAGAAAGAGAAGAGAAAACACGTTTAAATGTAAATAAAAAAAAAAAACTATTGAGCATTCATTACAGATGGATTATTGTCTATTGAAAGGATCTTCTTAAAAGCCATATAATTATTTTAAAGCAATAATAACAATACAGTGGTCGCTAATGATATTTAATTCGATTCTAAATGTGATCATATTTTTTAAATCCAAATTTCTTTTAGATTGATTTTTCTATAGTTAAATAAACTTAATTTTAAATAAAATTAGTCTTATAAGGAATCTTAAGGACTCTTGTACTGCAAATTATATTTCACATTTTCAAAATTTCTTCATACCACGGAACAACAAGAAACTAGGTTTTCTTAAAAAATGTATGCTGTATTAGAAGGGAACAAATTTAAATCAATTTTCTTACATTTAATTGCTACACTAGTGCAATTTTTACAAAATATAATCAGGAAATATAATAAACATGTAAGCCTATAGTTCTTCTTGATGACTGCCAAGGTTATCCTCTCCCAAATCAGCTTTGCTTATCAATGTAAAAACAAAATTGTAAATAATATATGAGCTTATATAAGATCTGTTTCTGTACGGCACGTGTCTGTCCGATAAGTGAGAAAAGCGTTTGTTTTGATTGCCCAAAAATGATTACAAATTCACGCCGAAAATTTTGCAGACCCTAAAATGGCTTTGACGGAGGCGCTCTTTGTCATTGTGAGCGTTCTGAGCGCTATTTACCTGTGGTTCCAGCGCAATCACAGTTATTGGCAGCGCAAGGGTTTGCCCTTCATGCCGCCCTCGCCCATTATTGGCAATACTGCGTCCGTGTTCAAGCAAGAGAGCTCGTTCGGCATGTACATCTCGCAGGTGTACAGTGAGCCAAGGATGCAGGATGAGGCCGTTGTGGGCATCTATGTGATTAACAAGCCAGCTCTGGTCATACGTGAGCCAGAACTTATTAAATCCGTGCTAATCAAGGACTTCAATCGTTTCTCCAATCGCTATGCACGCTGCGATCCACATGGCGATCCGCTGGGCTACAATAATCTGTTCTTTGTGCGCAACCCACATTGGAAGCAGATACGCAGTAAGCTGACGCCCGTTTTTACAAGCGGAAAGGTGAAGCAAATGTATCCACTAATGGTGGAGGTGGGTAGCGCCGAGTTTTAATCAGGGCTGGAAACTGGAGCTCCGGAACCGTCTTACAGCCTTGGTTTAAGCATCAACCTACCAAATCTAAGTTTAACAATTTATAGATAGCTGAAGATCTGGAGTCACATTTGGCCAGGCATCGTCCAGCACAGGGTACCGAATACATTACCGAGGTCAAGGACATATGCGCAAGATTCACCACGGATTCAATTGCTACCATTGCATTTGGAGTGCGCGCAAACAGCTTGGCAAATCCTGAGGCCGAGTTTCGCAACCAAGGACGTAAGGTTCTCGGGGCCAGTCTATCGCGCAGCAAGGATTACTTTGTTGCCTTTTTTATGCCCAAGTTGGTATCATTGCTTCGCATTAAGTTCTTTACGGAGGAATATTCCAATTTTATTCGCAACACTATCAACCATGTGATGTCGGAGCGGGAGGGCACGGCCACTGTGCGCAACGATCTAATTGATGTCCTAGTTGGTTTACGCAAGGAGGCCGCCCTGGACCCCAGCAAGCCGCATCTGGCCAACAACAATGACTTTTTGGTTGCTCAAGCAGGTGTTTTCTTCACGGCTGGATTTGAAACCAGTTCGTCTACTATGGCGTTTGGTCTGCTGGAGCTGGCCAAGCAGCCGGAACTGCAGGAGCGTCTGCGTCAGGAAATCAATGAAGCTTTAGTGGAGGAGGGAGGCAAGTTGAGCTATGAGAAAATCAATTCACTGGAATACCTAGCCATGGTGGTCGATGAGGTGTTGCGTCTGTATCCAGTGCTGCCTTTTCTGGATCGCGAATATCAGAGTATTCAAGGCCTGCCGGATCTGTCGCTGAAACCCTACTATGATTATAAGATGGAGAACGGCACGCCTGTTTTTATCCCTGTCTATGGACTACAGCGTGACCCTAAGGTGGGTTTGTGGAACTGGAATCCTGCTCAGGTGGATGGACAAATATATGATCTATTCTCTTTCAGTACTGGCCAAACCCGAATCACTTTGATCCCGAACGCTTCTCACCGGAGAATCGAAAATCAATTGAGCCGATGGCCTATCAACCCTTTGGTCTCGGCCCGCACAACTGCATTGGAAGTCGCATTGGCCTGCTCCAGTCCAAACTGGGTCTGGTGCACATCCTGAAGAATCATTATGTGCGCTGCTGCTCGCAGACTCCCAAGGATATTCAATTTGATGCCAAGACTATTGTTTTGCAGCTGGATAAGGAAATGTTCCTTGAGATTGTTAACGATAGACTTTATGATGAAAAGGCTGTCTGATTTCAGCTTTACGAGTTTGAAATAAATTTACGTTGTGCGTAATTTAAGAACTTTATTTACTTTGTAATAAACGAAATATATTTGGTGATAATAAAAATGTCTACAATTAAATGTTGTATTATCGTATAGAGAACAACTTACCCTTATCTTGGTTTTTATTTATTTTTATTTTTACTTAATAAAAAAAAATATACGCGTTGATAATAAATGTTTTTGTTTGTCATGCTTATGGGGGAAACGTATAGGTCAGTGTTTCTTATACCCTGAAACCATTGAAAATGGTTAAAAGGATAAAATGTATCAGTGCAAATATGTGTAACAAGCAGAAGAAACCATCTCCGACCCCATAAAGTATATACATTCCTGATCAGCATCAATAGCCGAGTCGATCTAGCCATGTCCGTCTGTCTGTACGACTGTCCGTCCGTATACATGAACGCAAAAATCTCAGAGCCTATAAGAGCTAGAGACGAAATTAGGAATTTAGGTCCTTGTTTGCTTGTTTGTTTCCGAAATTCGGTTACTTGGTTAATTCTAAAATACACGAATATTCTATAGTACAATAAGATACTGTTGAAATTTTCATCAAGATCGGTTAAGAAATAGAGAAGTTTTAGAAAATGTGTTTTGGCTGCCCACTTGGAATTTCTGTATACATGTGCACAAACACATTTACGCGCATCTTTATTGAATTCTATCAACAGCACTGCAATTGCGATTGTATTGTTTTCTGTGCTGTGTGCAATTTTAATTCGTTTTTTATATTTATATTTTTATATTTATATTTATTTATTAATGGTCGACAAAACGAGTGTCTTCCTCATTATTCAAAAGGTTGTACAATATAAGTATATTCTAAAAGCCTAGTTAAAGGATACAATTTTCTAAATAGCATCACCGACCGATGGAGGTGTTTTATTTGCCAGTCCGGCCAGCTGTGCCCCTTTTCACAGCTAATTTTGTCAGTGACGCTATTAGAGCCTACATCTAAGCAGAAGGTTGTAAGTAGGAAAAAAGTGATCTCAAGTGAAATTAAAAATAATCTTAATTTGCTAAATTAATAAAGAAAATACAATAAATAGGAAAAAAGAAAGTAAGAAAATTGTTAATAAAGTAAAGCAATGTAAGTTAGATAAAGAGTGTTAAGTGGATAGGACAAAGAGAAAAGTATTGGGAAATCACCGACACGGTGGGGGAAAATTTTTCAGCCTGTCCGGCTAGCTATGCCCCTGCTCATAGCTGGGAATGGTCAGCGACTTCCCGAAGGTATCCTGAAAGCAACGATTTTATTAGGGGTAGAGACAGTTCGGTAGAGAAAACGTGATGCAAACTATTATAATTTTTACATAGCACGCGAAAAGAATTGTGCATAGCGTAATCAGTTGTGCACGTAGATAGTAATAAGGGGCGATAATTTCTGGTTGGTCTAGCCGGAACAGAGAATTGAAGACGCCCTAGCAGAAAAGGAGAATCAATGTCGCCAATAATCAACTTATGTAGAAGGACAACACCGAGAATTGTCCTACGGTTGATTAACGACGGAAGGTTGAGAAGAAGCAGTCTGCTGGAGTAGGACGGCAACCGAAGATTAGGGTCCCAATTTAAACCTCGTAAGGCAAAAAGCAGAAATTGCTTCTGAACAGATTCAATACGATCCTGGCTGTTGATATACTGTGGAGACCAGATGCAAGAGCAGTATTCAAGGATAGGGCGAACAAGAGAGATGTACAGAAGTTTTGTTATAAAAGGATCGTTAAACTCTTTAGACCATCGTTTAATGAATCCAAGTACACCTTTTGCCTCATTAACAATGGTATCTATATGAAGATTGAAACAGAGTTTAGAATCAAAAATAACGCCTAGATCCTTAACTGTTAGTATACGTTGCAAAGGGATATTGTCGATTGTATAACTAACAAGATAAGGTGTAGTACGATTAAAAGTCATAAACATACACTTTGAACAATTTAGATGCAATTGATTGGCCGAACACCAAAGTTGCATAGCGTTCAAATCGTCTTGTAGACGAGAATGATGTAGGGGGTTAGTGTATGATAGAAAAAGTTTGACATCGTCCGCATACATGAGTACACGGGCATGTGATATAACAGAAGGAAGATCATTTATAAAAAGTGTAAAGAGTAAAGGTCCAAGATGACTACCTTGAGGAACACCAGAAGTAACGTGAACCCTTTTAGAGGTAGTCAACCTCAGTATTACTCTTTGGGTCCTACCTTTTAAATAAGAATTAATCCAAAGTAAAAGGGACAGAGGGAAACCTATTCGGTCAAGTTTAAAAAGTAAAATGTCATGGTGCACAGAGTCAAACGCCTTGCTGAAGTCAGTGTAAATGACATCAGTTTGCATTTTCGAAAGGAAAGCATCATTTACCAAGGAAGTAAACTCAAGCAGATTGGTCGTAGTTGACCGATTCTTTACGAATCCATGTTGAACAGGGGAAACAACTGATTTGCAGAAATGCTGCAAATTCGAAGTGATTATTTTTTCAAATAATTTAGGAATAGCAGACAGTTTTGCAATGCCCCTGTAATTTTGTATATCAGACTTCCCACCTTTCTTGTGAAGAGGAATGATATAAGATTCTTTCCAAAGAGATGGAAAGACAGAAGTTTCAAGGGATAGATTAAAAAGCTTTAGCAATGGATAGAAAAGGGAAGAACTGCACTCCTTGAGTAGACAACTAGGAATATTGTCCGGCCCAGGAGAGTAAGAAGATTTTAGAGAGTTTATAGCTAATAGGAGAGAGGAGTGTGAAATAATGGGGGGAGGTATAGAACTAGCGGAGGAAATAGTATAAGGGTAAGAATTAGTATTAGGACAGACTGAAGAGTAAGTTGATTGGAAAAAATTAGCAAAGAGGTTAGCAGAATCAGTGTCATTGCTAGCTTTATCCATCCCAAGAAAAAAAGAAGATGGCAAAGTTGAAGACTTACGCTTCAAGTTTACAAAATTATAAAACTGTCTCGGATTTCGGGCGAATTGCCTTTTACAACGAATTAGATAATTCTCATAGCATTGAGAATTAAGAAGAAAAAAGTTCGACTTGGCTATGGAATATTTAGCCAAGTCTGTACACGAACCAGACTTTTTAAACTTTTTAAAATATTTGGATTTTACATTTTTTAGATGTGATAATCTGGGAGTAAACCAGGGTGGTTTTGAAAAAGTAGTCGAAGGAATTGACTTAGGAATACACACATCTAAGAGGGAGTTTAGGGTGATATAAAAAGAATTAATGGCTGTATTCATATCAACTGAGTCATATAAGAAAGACCAATCGGTTGAATAAATAAGCTGATTCAGCAAGGAATAATTTCCTTTGCGAAAGCAATAGCGGGGCTTATTGGCTGATGAGCACGAAATGGAAGGATTACAATTTAGCATTGCAATCTCTAAAGTTGGATGATAGACATCCTCAGGAAGAGATAAAGGAGGTGACCTAGACACATTAGAAATAAGGTAGTCGTTAACAAATACAAGGTCAAGTGTTCTATTCATATGATTAGAAATTGAATTGATTTGAAACAACGAAAGATCAAGCATGCAGTCTAAAAAATCGTGCTGTGCTGAGGGCACTAGATAATTTTCAGCAGTGAATAATGACCAAGAGATGTTCGGCAAATTAAAATCACCCAACACCAATAATAGGTCATTATCCCGCACGTGTGAAGAAACTTCTTTAATACAAGTAATATGATTCATATAAACTTGAATATCAGAAGAAGGTGGGACATAAGAGCATGTTACATAGATATTCCGTGTAGGAAAAGACACCTTAACTGAGACAATCTCAGCGTCAGTAGGCGTACTAAAACAGAATAGTTCAGACTGGAGAGTGGCTTTAACGGCAATTAACACCCCACCACCTCGAGTCGGCCGATCATTTCTAAACAAAATAAAGTTATTCGGTAATACCTCAAAATCAGATATGGTTGAGTTTAACCATGTTTCTGAAAATGCTATTATGTCCGAATCGAAGGAAGTGCTGGCAATAAAAAGATTTTTTAGCTTTGAAGTGAGACCTCTGACATTCTGATAATGAATAAAGATTTGGTCAGAAGATGAAGCTAGTTTTTTGGGGCAGAAATGGTACCCTGTATTGAAGGGACTGGAAGGGTGACAGGCTGGTTACGCTTTTTAGGCTTGAACTCATGAACAATCATGTGTGGTGGCCAAAATTTGGGATCACAAATGATTGGGAACATATCATGTGAAACATTTATTTTGAATGATGATATTTCACGAGGGGTGGAGAAATTAAATTTAGTTATTGACACGCTAGCAGAAGATTTGCTAGCAATATAGGCTGCCAATGACTCAGAAGTGGTGTCCGACGAAAGTCGAGACACAAAAACTTGCCTACGAGGGGCAACTACCGTTAAAGTGGGCGCTGATGGGGCTGTAGGTAATACAGGAGTTGGAGGAGCTAACGAGGCACAATGATTGCTTTTAACAATCTGCGCAAGATTGCGCGCAGGTCTACCTTTGCGGCCAGGAGCTGACGGGGCTGAGGCAATTTGATTAATTGGGACGGAATCAGGTACGGGCTCTACTGGGTCTAGTACAGGGCTTGAAGCCGGGGTAATTGGACAGTCGCTTGGAGAAGGCGATAAAGACAACATTGGAGATACCTCCAAGTTGCTAGGAAAAGACAAGAAAGTCGTAGGAGTCTGAACAGACGTAGAGGGCAATTGCAAAAGTTGAGGCTTCTTTCCCACCTGTGTATGTATACATATTCTCGAGTTGAATAAACTATATGTTTCATAATATCATTCCTTAATTAATTTAATTTTCTCCGTTAAGTCTAAGAAAAAACATCCACACCTGTAGTCGAAATTAAAAAGGTTGTGATTTGTGTGTGTAGGCAAAGAATTAATTACACGGCATCTCCTAGTCTAGTACTATTAAGTAGAGCATTTGTATTTGATTCCGATTTTGTTTTTGTAATCTCTCAATCAAGAATTGCCTATAAAAACGTGCACTCAGCAAATTTTTTGCAAGTGCTATTCTGAACTCGCTAATTGTCGGTACCTATAATCACGCAAGGAATTTTGCGAATTATAAAAATCTTTTAGGTCGGTTTGTACAAATTCTAAGAGTGAAGTGCGTTTAAATGAGAGAAGTGCAATTAAAGACTCAAACGGATGGATGATAAATAAGAAAGAGGGAAGAAAAAACTTTAAACATGGAAATAAAAAAAACAAGCTATTGAGCATTCATTTCTAAGGGATTATTGCATATTGAAAGGATCTTCTTAAAAGCCATATAATTATTTTAAAACAATAATAGCAATACAGTGGTCGCTAATGATATTTAATTCGATTCTAAATGTGATCATATTTTTTAAATCCAAATTTCTGTTAGATTGATTTTTCTATAATAAAATAAACTTCATTTTAAATAAAATTAGTCTTATATGGAATCTTAAGGACTCTTTTACTGCAAATTATATTTCACATTTTCAAAATTTCTTCACACCACGGAACAACAAGAAACTAGGTTTTCTTAAAAAATTCATGCTGTAGTAGAAGGGAACAAATTTAAATCAATTTTCTTACATTTAATTGCTATACTAGTGCAATCTTTACAAAATGTAATCAGGAAATATAATAAACATGTAAGCCTATAGTTCTTCTTGATGACTGTCAAGGTTATCCTCTCCCAAATCAGCTTTGCTTATCAATGTAAAAACAAAATTGTAAATAATATATGAGCTTATATAAGATCTGTTTCTGTACGGCACGTGTCTGTCCGATAAGTGAGAAAAGCGTTTGTTTTGATTGCCCAAAAATGAATCCAAATTCACGCCGAAAATTTTGCAGACCCTAAAATGGCTTTGACGGAGGCGCTCTTTGTCATTGTGAGCGTTCTAAGCGCTATTTACCTGTGGTTCCAGCGCAATCACAGTTATTGGCAGCGCAAGGGTTTGCCCTTCATGCCGCCCTCGCCCATTATTGGCAATACTGCGTCCGTGTTCAAGCAAGAGAGCTCGTTCGGCATGTACATCTCGCAGGTGTACAGTGAGCCAAGGATGCAGGATGAGGCCGTTGTGGGCATCTATGTGATTAACAAGCCAGCTCTGGTCATACGTGAGCCAGAACTTATTAAATCCGTGCTAATCAAGGACTTCAATCGTTTCTCCAATCGCTATGCACGCTGCGATCCACATGGCGATCCGCTGGGCTACAATAATCTGTTCTTTGTGCGCAACCCACATTGGAAGCAGATACGCAGTAAGCTGACGCCCGTTTTTACAAGCGGAAAGGTGAAGCAAATGTATCCACTAATGGTGGAGGTGGGTAGCGCCGAGTTTTAATCAGGGCTGGAAACTGGAGCTCCGGAACCGTCTTACAGCCTTGGTTTAAGCATCAACCTACCAAATCTAAGTTTAACAATTTATAGATAGCTGAAGATCTGGAGTCACATTTGGCCAGGCATCGTCCAGCACAGGGTACCGAATACATTACCGAGGTCAAGGACATATGCGCAAGATTCACCACGGATTCAATTGCTACCATTGCATTCGGAGTGCGCGTAAACAGCTTGGAAAATCCGGAGGCTGAGTTTCGCTCCCAGGGACGCACGGTAGTTGAAGCAACTCTGTTGCGCAGCAAGGATTACTTTGTAGCCTTCTTTTTGCCCAAGTTGGTGTCGCTATTTCGGGTTAAATTCTATACGGAGAAATATTCCAATTTTTTACGGAAGACCATCAACCATGTGATGTCGGAGCGGGAGCGCACGGCCACTGTGCGCAACGATCTAATTGATGTCCTAGTTGGTTTACGCAAGGAGGCCGCCCTGGACCCCAGCAAGCCGCATCTGGCCAACAACAATGACTTTTTGGTTGCTCAAGCAGGTGTTTTCTTCACGGCTGGGTTTGAGACCAGTTCGTCTACTATGGCGTTTGGTCTGCTGGAGCTGGCCAAGCAGCCGGAACTGCAGGAGCGTCTGCGTCAGGAAATCAATGAAGCTTTAGTGGAGGAGGGAGGCAAGTTGAGCTATGAGAAAATCAATTCACTGGAATACCTAGCCATGGTGGTCGATGAGGTGTTGCGTCTGTATCCAGTGCTGCCTTTTCTGGATCGTGAATATCAGAGTATTCAAGGCCTGCCGGATCTGTCGCTGAAACCCTACTATGATTATAAGATGGAGAACGGCACGCCTGTTTTTATCCCTGTCTATGGATTACAGCGTGATCCCAAGGTGGGTTTGTGGAACTTGGCGTCTGGACAAATGTATCTATTTGATATATTCTCTTACAGTACTGGCCAAACCCGAATCACTTTGATCCCGAACGCTTCTCACCGGAGAATCGAAAATCAATTGAGCCGATGGCCTATCAACCCTTTGGTCTCGGCCCGCACAACTGCATTGGAAGTCGCATTGGCCTGCTCCAGGCCAAACTGGGTCTGGTGCACATCCTGAAGAATCATTATGTGCGCTGCTGCTCGCAGACTCCCAAGGATATTCAATTTGATGCCAAGACCATTGTTTTGCAGCTGGATAAGGAAATGTTCCTTGACATTGTTAACGATAGACTTTATGACGAGAAGGCCATCTGATGTTACCTTTAAGATTTTCATATATACTTTGGTTGATCCTTATTGAAGAAATTTCATTATAATTTACTTTGTTATAACTTTATATATTTGATTAATTGTTTAATATCTTACAATAAATATGCTCTACTTAATAAAGAGGTCTTAGCTTAAAAAAGAAAATCGTATACCTAGGTCTTGTTTTATATTATATTATAATATTTTCAAAACATTGATTAAATGCAGTGTTTTGAATTGTTATTATGTTTGGTCTCCGATAATACTACGTAATTTAAACAGCGTTTCGATTTTAGTAAATAAGCTGATTAAATTGTTACCTAATCTAATCGATTCTAGCCTGAGCTGCTTGAGTCTTGATCTTCAAAGATTAGCAAATTGCGTGCCAGCTGTCGATTTGATTTCTAATCAACTTAAATTCTTTAATAGGTAATATGCCATAAAATCTGTTTCAATTACCATTTAAATATCGATTTGGGTTAAAATCGCTCGCCAAATTAGATTCGTACAGCGAGAATCCGAGGCGCAAAAATTGTTGACTTGATTGATATACATACTTACTTACATGTACAGTGTCCGGTACCCTATCATAAAACTGGGAACTTGAGCTTTATGCATTTTATGATTAATTTTTATATTCATTTTTTCCAGACTTATAATATACGTTTTAGAGAGAGAAAGAGATGGAGAGAGAATGGTAAAGAGGGAGTAAGGAAGCAGGATAACAAGAGAGTTTACAAAACTAAAAAAACTTTTTAGAAATTATTATAAAAATGTGGTTTATAAAGAGGGTGAAATAATAAATGATGAGAAAGAGAGAAAGAAGAGCGATATTAAGAGAGAGAGAAAGAGAAATATTAAGGGAGAGAAAGAGGGAGAATAACAAATTGAGAGAACGAAAGTTGGTTTTAGAAAGATTTTACAATAGTACTAAAAATATATTTATTGAAAATTATAATAATAATATGGTTTATGAATAGACCGAGAACGGAAAGTTTAAAATTGATTTATTATTTATTTTTAATTTGTGCTACATCTATTTAGCTGTTCGTCTGTTTGTCCATATACCCAAATCAGATAGTGTATTAGCATTTGCCACACTAAAGTCTGCTCTTAAAATCAAGTCATAAGTATTTGCGACAACTAGCCCACCTAATCAAAAGATTGTATATTTTTTCACTCTGAAAATCACAGTTTGAATGTGGCTAAGATTTACAGTTTTAGAGTCACAAGCTTCATATTCCTTCAAACTTTGATAAGTAGAAAAACTACAAAAATCTATTTGAATTTCTGCAAAAACATAAACAATTTCTCACCCCAATTGTAGCTGTAAAAAAAAGATCTTTATTAGATCTTGACTAGACTAAGTTCGGGTCTAATAATTTTTTGTGCATCAAAATCAAGTTATTTGATAATTTCAGTAAACGGGGAAATTCTAGACAGCACTTTGACTATTTCTTCCACATCTCGCAACTTTCGATTTGACACGCAAATGGTAGTCAATCAAAATGCATTCGTAATTTTTTCTTGAACAATTTATAATGACAACACACGCGAAATTTCAACTTAGTTTGAAGTCAGTCGCTGACAGGTGAATTGCCGCTATCCGCTATCTGAACTCCCGACAAACTTCCACTCCTAAGTAAGTGCTCCTCAAACGCCCAGGGGATCACGGACGAGCCTCAGATTAATGCCGCCATCGGCCTGTAATATAATCGCCTTGGGATCCAGTTTCATGCGTCGCAGTGTGCGCTCCGAGGTGGTTACCAGATGATTGCGCAGCACATAGACCAAGCCCACCTTGGCTTGGAGGAAGCTATAACGCTCGCCAATGCAGCCATGCGGGCCCAAGCCGAAGGGCATATAGGTGTATGGGGTGTGCAGCTTGCGGTTGCTGGACGAGAAGCGCTCCGGCTGGAATTGCTTAGGTTGCGGATAGTACTGCAAGAGAAGGGAACAGGATTAAGTACAATAGATACAACAAGTATTTCTTAACTAAAGTGCAAGAGGAGTTTTACTTTTTTCTTGTTTTCGAATTTTCCAACATTTTGGAACGGAGTACAAAACGTAGAAAGGATTAAGAGAAGAATTAGGCATAAGACTAGCAAATTATTTGACTTTAATTTGAAAAGAGATTCTTAATGTTTTTCCCGCTCCTGAATCTTCCGCCTCAGACAAGGCCGGAAGAAAGGTAGACAGTAGGCATAACAGAAAAAATGTACTGTCTAAAACTAGAAGTATTAAGATTCGTAAAGATTAACCGAAAAGGGTTAGAGAATGAAGATTAATATCTTCCAAGTAATATTAGTGGAAAAATTTCTGTTTGAATTATGTAAGAAGGGTTCTTTGTGCTATGCTTTCTCTATGGATTCCTGGCTTTGGAAGAGGGAATTCCTAAGCGCAACTCACCTGCGGATCCATATGCAGTGCATAAGCCGGAATATAGATGGGCATGCCTTTGGGCACACAGAACTTGTGAAAGGGCGCCAAGTCGTAGCCATCCTCACTGGTGCACTCGCGATCCAGGAAAGGCAAAGGTGGATACATGCGCAGCACCTCCTGGATTATCATTTGCATATACTCCAAGGATTCGATCAACTGCTGGGTCACACGTCCGCCGCTGGCAGTCAAAGCATTCTTGATTTCGTTGCGCAGACGCTGCTGCACCTCCGGATGCCTGGCCAGCTCGTACATGGCAAAGGCCATGGTGGATGAAGAGGACTCGAAACCGGCGGTAAAAAAGATCACAGCCTGGGCCACCAAGATGTCACCCTCAAAGACAAACTGATTGCCCTCCGCCTGGGCCTGCTGTGTGCTCCGCTTGAAGTCAATGAGTAGATCGATCAGATCGTTCCGCGGCTGCTTGGACTTTTCACGCTCCGCCATCACATAGTTAATGGTCTTGCGCAGAAACTCGGTTGACTCGGCGGGCACCACCTTGAAGCCGAAATACGGTACCAATTGCGGCAGAAAGAACACCAAGGTAAACTCCGCCGCACGCTTCAGACTAAACTTGAAGACGGCACGTCCATGACGACGGAATTCACTATTCGGATGATTGAAGCTATTCGCCTGCACGCCGTAGGCCACCGTGGCAATCACGTCTGTGGTGAAGAGTGCACACAGCTCCTTGGCCTCCAGGTCGAAGCAGCGCATGCGCTCATTGTGGAGCGGCTGCTGGCGCAAATACGCATCCAGATTGCAGCCCACCTCATCGATTAGCGGAAACATGTGCTTGAGACGATTGCTGGTGAAGAACGGCGACAGCTTCAGACGCACCTCCTTCCAGGCTGGGTTCTTGAGGAAAAATAAATTTTGCGAGCCGAGCGGATCGCCCTTGTAGTCTGAGTTGGAGTAGCGATTGGCGAACTTCGGAAAATCCTTGACCATAATGCGTTTAATCAATGTCGGATCGCGCAACAGCAGCGCCGGCTTGTGGAACACATGTATGCCCACAAAGGGCTTGTCCTGTGCATCCGGATGATTGTAGAGCTCTCCTATAAAATCGGCTGGACTACTTCGCATGCTCAGCAGGCCACCCAAATTGCCCAGCAGCAGGCTGGGTCGCAGCTCCGGCACGCCACGACGTGTCCAATAGGCATAGTGCTGGCGCAGATAATAATAGCCACTCACCAGGAGTAAGACCAAGATCACCAACATTGTTCCAAGTGTCATCCTAAGTGTCCAAGCTGCGTTCAGCTACTGTTTCCAGCTGCTGCTCGTGAGTCTCCATTGAGGGTCTAGGCTGTTCGAGATTGGAAGATAGCGACCAGGGTTCATCAGGTTGCAGCACAAGGTCGCTCGTTTTCTGAATGAATGTTTTTTCGCATTGTGCTCAGGGTCTGGTTGCTATTCCTTTGTTGCACAGTGCTAACATATTTGCATATTTGGTTGTAGATCAGCTGCAAATCGAGCTTCAAATACTTTATTTTTATACATGTTCGCGTCTTTAGTTGTACAATAGAGGATATGATAGCTATTTATGTAGTATTCGCTTTTATTATATAATATTATCGTATAAACTATGAATTGGACGGGATTGAACGGGATTCAATCAGTCCAAAACATAAATATATTATACGGCCTTATTATCAATTCATCTGAAGAAGATATATCAAATAATTTCCCAGTCAAGTCTTAATCGATTCTCCTTTCCTTACAGCTACCATGCTACCTTTCTGCTTAGCTCTATTGCTCTTGGTGCTTCTGTTCAGCTATCTCCATTTACTGGAACGTTACAGCTACTTCCGGCGTCACCAGCTGCCGTATTTGCCCGTTTCCACCTGGACGCCGTTGGGTCATCTAAAGCAGTTGCTATTCTTGCGCATTTCCTTTGGAGATCTCTTCAAGAACATCTACGCGGATGAGCACACCCGTGAGGCAAAGCTGGCGGGTTTCTTTGTGTTCCAAACACCTGCGCTTATGATACGCGATCCGGAGCTCATACGCCTTGTGCTGATCAAGGAATTCAATAGCTTTCTAAATCGCTATGAAGCTGCCGATGCTCGACATGATCCCATGGGCGCACTGACCCTGCCGCTGGCCAAGTATCCGCAATGGCGGGAGAGTCGTCAGTGCATGTCGCAGCTATTCACCAGCGGGCGCATGAAGCAGCGCATGTATCCATTGATGCAGCAGGTGCTGATGGACCTTGAGCGGCATCTGGTGAAGCGTATGTGTGGACAATCGGAGCGCGTGCTGCCCTTGAGTGAGATGTGTCAGCTCTATACGACAGATGTGACGGGCAAATTGTTCTACAGCTGGGATGTGGGTGGATTGCGTGAGGGCAAATCCCCATTGCGCCAACAGACCAAGCAACTGTTCAGGCCCGACGTTCAAAAGGTGCTGCACTTCATGTGCATCTTCTTTTTGCCACAATGGACCTGGCTGCTGCGCGCCAAGGTCTTCTCCATGGACTATGCCCACTTCATGAGGCAGCTGGTGCGGCGCCACGCCACCGACACTCAGGTTGACCTGATTAGACAGCTCCAGCAGCTCCAACAGGCACGTCCACACACACACTACGCACAGGAAGCGGACTTTATAGCCGCACAGGCGGGCATCATTTTGCTTGCAGGCTTCGAGACTTCCTCCGCCTTGCTGGGCTTTACACTCTACGAGCTGGCCAAGCAGCCGAAGCTGCAGCAGCGTTTGAGGCAGGAGCTAGCCACAGCTTTTGGTGGCGACGCTCAGCTTAGTTATGAGGCGGCAGCTACGTTGCCATATCTAAAAATGGTTTGTCTGGAGGCACTGCGTCTCTATCCCGCCGCTGCGTTCATCAACCGCGAGTGCACCCGGGCTGAAGGCTTCGCGCTGCAACCGCACATCGACTTTGTAATACCCTCTGGCATGCCGGCTTATGTATCCATATTGGGCATACAGCGTGATGCAAAGGTGAGCTGGAAGCTGAATCCTAAGGAAACTCACACTCTCTAATTCTTACTCTTCTAGTACTGGCCCAAGCCCTTACATTTCGATCCCGAACGCTTTGCGCCGGCGCATATAAAAAACATATCACCCATGTCCTATATACCCTTCGGTGCTGGTCCACACGGTTGCATAGGCAGTCGGCTGGGCTTGCTCCAGCTAAAGCTGGGCGTGGCTCACATTTTGAGATCTCATCGTGTGGAGTTCTGCGAGCGAACAGTGCCCGAAATACGCTTCAATCCCAAGACTTTTATGCTAGAGTCTCTGGATGAATTATACTTGCGTTTCTGCGTTGACCCACTGTAGATAAAACTAATATATATCAATTACTTAGCGGCTGTGATATTCGATCATTAAACCTTATGTAAGTACTGTTCAATTATTTATTACGTTTGAGAATAGTTTGGAGTCAAGCCAAAACTGAATGCGCTGGCCGATAGACACGCAAGGCCGAGCTATTCGTACATATATTTCTATATAAAATCGAATTACTTTTATTTTCATAATCCGTAAGCTACGAATTCCAAAGGCCGTTCGGTATTGCATGCGGCCAAAGTTTTGCTACCTAATGAGCCAAATAATTTTAATTGATCTACGATTGAGAGAATCGGTGTCTTATCCTAAAAAATTTGCAAGGTACAAGCTCATATTTACCAGGTTATATTCGCCTTGAAAAGAAACACCGCAAACTTGTGATATTACGTGGAGAAGATTTTTTAAATTCTTTTCTTGAAATATTCAATTAAGCTACTAGAATAATATATTTGCAATTTATTCGGAGTAAGGGGGAATTCTCATTTTGTTTTAATATGAACCCTAACAATTTGTCAAGAACCACTTAAACATAGTTTTGCTTTGACTATAACATCTAAATCTGAAATGATATAGTCGAAAAGAAAGGGATTCGTTTATGTCAATTATTATTTCAAAATATAAGTTATTATTTTTTTTCATTACATAAATAATTCAATTTGATGCTTCCCCAAACTATCCCTTGCGCCCTGCTTATTCGGATTTTAGATATTGATTCTTAATCTAGCGTACTTTCATTGGGTTTTGTGTATTTAATTTTGGGCGATGTTATTTATGTTCTGGCTATCAGTTGGGATGCTCCAGTTTGGCTAGCTTCTCCTCAATGTCCTTAATGCGGCAACGGACCTCGGGAGCTGAGTCGCGCTGAAATTTGGGTAGATTCGTTTCGAAATTTTGCTTAAGCAGCGCCAACGTGGCCTGATCTCTGGTCAGGCTGAGGCGTTTGATCAGCATGAGGACTATGTTGAGTGCCTCCTTCTTCAGGCCAGTATGAGGCACGCCAGCGGCGAGTGTGACTGCGGCTAGGACATCATTGCAGATCTTCTGCACAATTGCCTCACGAGTCTGCAACGGCGTCGCCTCTGTCTTGGGCTTCTTCTCCAGATTGTTGCGTTCGAGCGCCATTTCTGGCAGCTTGGCCGCCTCATCGAAAATATATAAGCGCTCGACATACTTGGTTAGCGCAGCCAATAGGCTAACCTGCACGGGACGAGTACTCTCGCTCAAAATGCTGGTGCAGTTCTCGGCAAAGAAGAGCTGATATCTGTGCTGGGTTTCAATGGCATGCTTGGGCCACGATTTTCCCAGTGTCTCCCAGACCACCTCCTTTAGCTTGTTGAGCGTTTGGGCGCGTTTGTTGCGCTCATCGGCGCTTAAATCCTTGTTGGCATTGCTGCAGCCGGGCTCATCCTCATCATCGGAGTCGCCCGTGCGCAGTTCTTTCTTCTCCAGCAGATACCAGATCATGTTGTATACCTCTTCAAAGCGATCCGCCTCCAGCACATCCAGTATTTCGCCTAATGCAGCTAGTGCCATAGTGCGATAGACGGGTTCCTGTTTGCGTGCCTCGCGCATTGCCGCTTCGATAATATTGGCACAGACCTCGTGCTGACGATCGAGATTTTTGCAGAGCGCAGCCAGAGCCTGCAATAAACGTTCCTTGCCCTCAAATGTTCGTCCCTGCAGGCCACTGAGCAATAGCTTGATTAGTCGCACACGATCCGTCATCTCCAGGCTGCCACTCAGGCGCTTCGCAATGTTCTGTATGGCATTGGCCGCCTGAGCCTTGCGCGACCAACTGGCATCGGTCAGCGATGATTCCAGCTTGGGTATGATGACATGCAAATTAAGACGAATGCCTGCATCGCCGGGACTTATGTCATTCCACAGATCCTTCCATTGCTCAATGTTTGTCTTGTTCTCCTCGTTCTGTTCCTCGTGCATGGCAAAGAAGATCAACGGCAACATACAGTCCATGTAGTCCTTGAGCAGCTCGTGGTGTCGCTTATTAATCGATTGTATAGTCAAAGCTATCGAGCGATTGTTGGGCTGCTCCATATACAGCTCATCCAGTTTGGTGAAAAGATTCTTAATGGATTGTTCCTGTAAAGTGGGATGGCAAGACATTTGGTTATGTTTGAAACCGCCTTAGGGAAAGTTTTATATCTTACCTTGGCCAGTCCCATGAGATGTCCAATGGCGCTGGCATTGTATTTGCGCACGGTGACGTTGCGATCCTTGATGCCGACAAAACAGGCTCCCAAATATTTTCCCACCAAGGGCGTCATTTCCTTGCCCAGACGAATGCTGACCTGTAAGGAGAAGAGATGATATACAAACGACCGAGGCAAGAGGAGGATAGGGATAGATCAGATCACTTACCAGACACACAAAATGTGCGCAACCAATTTTGGTGCCTAGATTGACGCTGGTTTTCATTAGCTCCAGCAGCTCTGGTGTCATGCGTTCCAGCACCGGATAGTCAATAAAATGTACGCATTTGTTGATCGCGTCCATGGTGTGATGTGATTTAGCTGCTTCTGCGCGGAGACTGTCCACAGCTTCTTGGGCTTCATTATCAGCGCCCAGACGCGTGGACACATACGACAGCTTGGTGTTCTCCAGTTCGCCGGTGGCGCGAAGCAGACAGGGTATGAGCGTGGCAAGGTGTGGTGCAATCAAAACGCCCGATGAATCAATCATATCCGATATGGTCTTAATGCTGACCTTTCGAATGTCAGCGACCTTGTGACCCACGCCCGTTTCCAGCAAAAATGGCAGAATGGAGGCAGCCACTGCTGTGCCAGATTTTCCGTGCTCCGATGATGCGGCCAGAACGCACAGTTTGCCCAGAAATGCGGCTGTGCCATGGGCAGTCATGCGCGTGCCCTCGTGTATGTCGTCCATGACGCGGAACAACTGATACCAGAGTTCCCTTAGCTCCGGCTCGGGCAGCTCATCCACCTCCATGCTGTCGGGCGTCACACGACGCGGATTGACACAGCTGCTGGTCGAGGTACCAGCAGAAGACGTAGGCAGCTGCTCCTCGGTGCGTAAACGCAGACCATTAGACCTCTTGAGAAGATCTCGCACAGCTAGGCAACATGCAATGCGCACTCGCCACTCCGTGCAGGTGAGATTGTCCAGCAGCTCGCGTAGGATTTCCCAATAGTATTGCTCCGTTATCTCCTTAGAGTCGCTGACAATGGTGTCCCATATAGATATCATGGAGTTTTGTATTTTGGGCGTCGGATCGTATTTATAGCGATATAGACGCGGTATTATCTTTCCCAGATATGGTTGCATTTTCTGACGCGACTCCGCGGAGAGCGTCTTCAGGCCAAAGGCAGCGCCCAGTTTGCTAGTCCAGGTGGCATTATGATTGGCCAGTTGCATAAACTGATAGATCATGTCCGGCTGATTGAGATCCGATGCGAGAGAACAGAGCTCCTTGTAGGTGGTTATGTTACCGCCTGTGGGCGTCTTGCCCAGCATGCCCTCGGCAAAGAGCTCAGTGTCGTCAGAGACCTGATTAACCTGACGTTTGCCGCCTATAAGCTGATCCAGTAGCGAATTCGCCAAATCCGTTTGGCTGCTGGAGTCGGAAAGTGCGTAGACCAGACCCAAACCTCGTGACGACACATCCTGCACGAATTCTGTGAACGATTAAACATGTTTAACAAACGCTGTTGGGACATTAAATCTGTACAACACACCGCTATCATCAGAGAGCAGCTCAGTAAAGGCAAACTGCAGCAGCTGCTTCTTGTTGAGCACAGCAGGTCGATTGCTGCAGTGTTTGACCACCGCCAGAAGCCATACGGAGATGGCCTGACGCGACTGCGGATTGGGCTCGCTCACCAAGCGTATCAAGGCTATCAGAAACTGTTCAAAATCTGCGTCGCTGCAGTGCTGGTTTTGGAATGTCTCTGCCGGCGGACCCTTGTTCACATCGTAGCCGCACAAGGTGTTAACAATGGCTTCCGAGATGGCTATATTCAATGCCGCATCCTTTTGCACCTTGGCCAACGCTAAGAACTTGTCCAGATTGCGTTTGGTAAAGTGCTCCCCATCGCCTATGGCCAAATAGCCCAAGCATTTTGCTGCCTCCTCGCGTATCTTTTGACGCACAGAGGTGCTGCGCAGCAGCTTGAAAATCACGCTAAAAATTATAAACTTTGTTGAATTCTCAATGCTTGCCAATTCGGCCATCTCTTCGTCGTCATCATCGTTATTGGTGCTGCTCTCCGCAACAATTTCCACCTGCACATTGGGTATTTCCACCGTCTTTCCAATCATCGAGGTGCATTTGACCGCTGCAGAGACGAGTAGCCACTGCGCTTCATTGAGCATTTTAGCTGAGGATGAAAAGCAGTGGTTAAATATCATAGCAACAGGTTTTCCCAGGTCACAATGTTTTTCATAAAATATAATCTCAATTTTTGGCCTCTTTTCCCAATCCAAGAGTGCATTTCTCAGGGGAAAATTAAAAGTATTTGACCAAAATAAAACTTTACTCCCCGAAATGAACACTAGCACATTGGAACAAAAGCCTTCAATTTGTCAGTACAAATAGTTCTATAGTTCCATATAAGCATAATTAGATTTAGGCCATTCACTCACCTATAATCTTCACAGCATTTATAAACGGTGGCCAGTTGGCGTAGTCCTTGCTGGAGTTCTGCTGCTTGAGCTGTTCGATTTTACGATTAAAAGTGTGTCCCACGACCAGCAACCAGCCATGCTTGTGCTCCAGAGTTTTCTGAGGCAAGCTGGTCAGACAATCGCCCACCTCTTGATCAAATTTATCAGCTGCAAGTCCATAGGCCCAGAGAAGGCCATAGACCTGGGCGACATTAATGCGCATTGTTTCCGACACGTCCTTGAGAGAGTTGCTCAAAGGCTCGAGCAAATGCAGCTGCTTCGGCGCAAATAGGTCGGGTGCAGCATTTAGCAGATCATAGAGACAAAGCAAACTAGATTCAGCTGCAAGAGATACACAAGAAAGAATAGTTAATCTCAATTTTCCAACTCCAAGGATTAAATTTCGTATAACTTAAAACTCACTGCGCTTGGCCTCTACTCCGCGTTGGACGAAAAGTAGATATTGATGCAGCGCATTGGACTCATCTTCGTCGTAATTAATGGTTATATATTTGCGTAGCTCGTGCGTATACTTCTCATCACCCGGTGCGGCTACAATGCCCGCCGAGTACCACAAGCAGAGACGCAAATAGTCGAGCATTTCCTCGTAGACGTCCAAGCTGTAGGGAAGCTTGGTGCGTCCCACCACAACGCAGGCGTTGCTCTTCTTCAGCCGTTTGTTGGCCATGTCATGGACATGGGACATCATCACATGGAAACTGGGCAATAAAACACGTCGCTGCTCCTGTGACAATTGATTAAAATCACTGATGGACTCGCTGGTGTGTTTACCCGTATGCTCAATGGAGGAGAGCATGCTGTAGTTGACATGATCCTTCTTCGAAGTGCCATACAAATAGGTGGTCACATGCTCACGCAAGGAATTGCTGTATATAGGAACAAGATATTTAGTCGGATTAGGATGCATATATTAATTTAACCCACCGTTCGCCTGCGATGAGCAGAAGCAAATAACGCGCTGGTGCATAAAACTCTGGATAGCAGCTGGTCAGGAAGACGCTGGTTACATTCTGCACTATTTGGATCTTGGACTCAGCATTGTCCAGCAACATGGCCAGTAACAAATGCTGTTGTCCGTCCAGCTGCACATGTGATGGATCGCCATCCGTGTCCACTTCCATGGCATCCGATTTGGTCTTGGTTTGCCAAGCAAAAGCTGGTGCCATGGATACCAATGCCTCGCGTATCGAGCTATGTAAATCGGGTGCACAAGTGGCTAAATTATTAAAATAGCCCAGTACAAGCTTCAGATCCTGGCTAACATCCTGAGGAAAACTGCGTGCGTGTTGAGCTAAAGCGGAATATGCTGCATTCTGCACATCATTCGGTTCAACCGAGTCGCGTCCGATAACTTTTGTGATGCCCGTCAGCATGACCTTGGACACCTTGGAGACTACCTCGCGTGGACCACTTTGAGTAAACAAAAAGGATTGATCGTTGAATTTATATATCTATAGCTTTGAAGAGTCCATAGAATATGGAACGAAAACTTACTCTCTCAGCACAAGCTCAACAAATTGCAAAGCAAGCACTTTGCACTTTTGATTGGTATTGGTGCCAAAAAGTCCATCGAAGATCACCTGCAGACCCTTGCCCACATTGATGCCCTTGCCGCGGCACTTGATCAGATACTGCAGCAACTTTTGACGCACACGAGCACAACAAGGACGTGTCTGGCGCTCGGCTTGCTTATGCTGATTGCCAATGAACAGTGTGTACAGAGCTGAAGTAACAGCTGGACTAGTAAAGTCCAGCATGGTGCATAATTTGCTCAGCTCGGCAATGGCAGGCGTGGCTACGCCAAAGCGTGTGTCGGCAGAGGCAACCACAAGTAGCACGAAGATCTCGTTGTCGGTGAAGACGCTGGCACATAGAAGGCGTACAATGCCCTTTTTGATCTTCTCCAGCTCCTCGGCGCGCCAATTGTTGGCAATGACACGCTTAAAACTATACGGACTCAGTCCAGGTGGCACCTCTTGCTCCTGTGTAATGCCGTAGGGCAACAGCAGCACATCCTGCAGCATTGACAGAAAACTGGCACTAATGGCCGGCTTGTCGTTAATCTTAAAAAGCTCAGCTCGCTGTGCCGGGTCATCCGGTATTTTCATCTCGCTTAATATGGGCAGCAGCAGCGTAAAAAGCTTGTCCTGATAGTTCTCCAACTTGCTCTCGCAGCTGATTACCTTGGCGGCCAGCGCGGTTTGCTGTGCCAGCGGCAGGCGGGGAAAGCCCATGCTGATGAAGATGATGGCAAAGTTCTTCAAGAATGTCGTGCTGTCAGGGGCCGCATACTGATCCAGAAGTGCTTCCACGGGTATCTGCACCTGGCTGCGTGATGTTACGCGCCGCTTAATGTGTGTAAGCACCTCAACCACCTGGTTTAATAATATTTTAGTTTTTGGTCAGATTAGCAAAACACTTTTGCAGCGTCATGCGGCAGCGACTGACGTCTGGTTCTACGTTACCTTTGTGCGCACCAAATTGTGGGGCGAATTGATTTTGATTATGACTGGCGTCAGGAATTTGCCCACCGTGGTTTCAAGCTTCTCATCGCTATCGGCATTGCCCAGACGCAGTAAAACGCGCTCGAGCAGCTCTGAGGACAAAGAATGCAAAAATTTGTAGACGGTTTTTAGGTTGTGTTTGTGGTTAATTTAAACGGACAATTGAGTTGCTAACTATCCCAATTCGTTTTGATTGGGCTAAATCATGCTTAGTGCTTAATTTTGGCCTTACGGATAACCTAAATATGTTGTATTTTTACCAATTTCTGCAGCAGGTCCCGCTGTTTCCATTTTGCTTATTTTTCTCTTATTTTTTGTTTAGCGTCTGAGAGTGTTGCCAGTGCAGGGCAACAGCTGAGAGCTTATGCAGCGTTGCCAGACTATCGAATAGCAAGTCATTCGCTCTGCTTCATATAATTTGCAAGTGTGGCGCGCAATTTAAACGTCGTACATAAAGGCATTAAGAGTGAAAGCTTTGTTACTGAACAGCTTCCTTGGGCGAACATTGCTTTAAGTAGGCAGGTATCTTGTCCAGATCTTTATACGTAATTAGAACTAACGCGGACTTAGCATTGTAACAAAAGGAATTTATTTGTACGAACATTGCTAAATTTAGAAAAAATTACATTTTTTCCAATATAAGTTTAGAGGACATCTTCATAGCAGGATGAACTGAAACCTTGGGGATTCACTCAATAGATCACTCTTTGTTTTGTAATGGGGCCCTTAGTAAGTGGTCAAATGGAAATAACAATATTTAGTTTATAATTAGTTGGTTAATGTTGCTTTTATTGAAATTAATCTGAATACATTTATATTGTAATTTCCAAATATTCAAGGGCAGCAATCAAAAACTGTAAATAGAATAATATAAGACAGACATTAGTATGAAATATTAGTTTTTGGCAGCTGCAATAATCTGTTGATAGCTTTCAGTATTTTTACTTTTAGTAAAAAGAGTCAAGGTTCTTCAGCAATTTGTTTTATGAAGACCGTCATGATTTTATCATCAGAAAATGCATTAGAAATTTGAATATAAAATGTATTCAATACACACCTTTTAGAGAGAATAGAACGCCGAGATCTCTCGGCATCTGCTGAAAATACTGAAAAAGATCTACAAAATTAGACAGAATATGATTACATTTACAGTTTGTTTTTTTTTTGTTTTATTCAAAAAGAATAATGCTACAAATATTGTTTTTTTTCCATAGTGGTTGTCCTCACTTAAAACTTCTTGAAGCTCTTCTTGGCGCCCTGACCCTTGCTGACTTTCAATACGTTGAAGCGCACGGTCTTTGAGAGTGGACGGCATTCGCCAATCGTGACGATATCGCCGTGCTCAACATCTCTGCAAGCATAAAAGGAGAGAGAGATTAAAAGACTGCACATGAAAGCTGGTAAGAAGAATTTCATTTATGTTTTGTCAGTATTTTTACGTTGTGTAAAAAGAGTCAAGTTGCTTCAGCAATTTGTTTTATGAAGACCGTCATGATTTTATCATCATAGTGAGATATTCCATAGTATTTAGAGTTACAAACTAGACATACCTGAAGGCGGGCGAGCAGTGGACGCTCATGTTACGATGACGTTTCTCGAAACGACTGTATTTGCGCACAAAGTGCAGATAATCGCGGCGAATGACAATAGTACGTTGCATTTTAGTTTTGCGCACAACGCCGGTCAGGATGCGGCCACGAATTCTCACATTGCCAGTCCATGGGCACTTCTTGTCAATGTAGGTGCCATCGATGGCCTACGGGAAAGAGAACAGCGTTAAATTTTGTATCTTGTTTTATGAGCAACATTAAGGGGATTTTCTTCTGATGGCATGCATACCTCACGTGGCGTTTTGAAACCGAGACCAACATCACGGTAACGGCGGAGCACCTTCTTTTTGGTGACGCCGGGCTTGACCTTACGGTTTAGGTTAACACCGAACTGCTTTTGGAAGGCGCGCTCGTTCTGTTTAGCATGGCACGCGACAAGTTAAATGGATGCGGGGTACAGAAACGTGCAGGTGGGCGCAGGCGGGGCGTTTGTTGTTTGGAAAGATGGAACAGAGAAAACGGGGGCGGAACATTAGTCAAATTTGCACTGAAACTCTTACCTCGGCTGGGATTTTAAACCCCAAACCAATTTGACGATAAAAACGCAAACGCTTCTTGCCGTTGGCACTCTTGCGACGCGTTGTCGGCACCGAGTGCTGCTTGCGAAATGCACGTTCCGTTTGCTATAATAATAATAATAATAAAATTCCGAGTGTGTACATTGTGAGACACCAGCGTTCGAAGCATGCGTGCAAGTGTGGTTAGGTTGAATATGCTGGCCTATCTGGCTGTTGAATTTCGATTTCCCAAACAATACACTCACAATGATTGCGCTGCACAGCAATTGTGTAGTTCAACTCACAATGCACTTAATTTCACATTTCACAGTGCATTTATCTTATAGCAGCGCATTAAATGCCGTATTTTATTTAATTTCGAACACATTTTTGCTGCCTTACCTGATCAGCCATGTTGGAGCAAGAGGAAAGAAAGAGCACGCGTTAAAATAGAGATGAACGATATTTAATTGTCAGTTACCTATGAAAAGTATTTTAAAGCAATGGTTACTATCGAATATAACGGTTAGACTCGTTACTCTGATAAGGTAAACTCAGTTTTACTTCTGTTCACTTTTATCAGAACTCTTAGATATGTTCAAGTTGTGTACATTTTTTGGCGCTCATATTTAACAGTAAGGTTCATCCGCTGAATTAAAGATTACTTTGAAATCACAACACGGCACATCGCTGCCTTAAATATCGATATATGCATCATGTTTATAAAATATATCGGTAATTTTAACATCGAGTAAAAAATATCGCAATTGCACATTACTTTCATCGATTGTGTAGACAATCGATTAAAACGATGTGGCGCTCGCAGGGCTGCAATTAGGATTGGCGCGATTTTTAAATGTGTTTTTGAAAACTGAAAGTACGTTGAGCCGCTATTCTGATTTTTATAACTCCTTGATTGTGCTGTAGAAGCTGTTGCTTGAATTGTTTGTAGGGCTGCAGCTAGGGTTAGCGCGATTTTAAAATGTGTTTTTGAAAACTGAAAGTACGCTGAGCAGTTTTTTTTTTTGTTTTTTTATAAGTCCTTGATTGTTCTTTAGAAGCTGTTGTTTGAATTGTTTGCATTTCGGCTGCCGCCGCAACATTTGCTCAGCTATTGACCTTCTGCTGGCGCTGACATTGACTTTGATTTTTGCACATAGCTAAGATTTTAAGCCACAGCTGCGCCATACTCATTGACAGCACTTGAAATCCACTTGAGAGGCTTTCAAAAAAATCTCTTTTGTGCGTTCACTTTGCGCTGGCTTAGCAGCCTTTGTACCCCCAGAAGAATTTGCTCTTTGCAGATATATACTATAGATGTATGTGTAAGTAAAATTAAAAACAAATGCGTCAGCGCTAATTCTTGACATACGACAGCCAGTGAGTAGCAGAATACGTCGTATTAAAAATAATGACAACATAAACAAGTGCAAGTTGGGCAAAGCATGGGATTGCCTTGAAACGAAGACAGTGTCCCGGAGCCTTATACGGCGCTAGCAACAGCTGACACGGCTTCAAGGCGAAAGCAGATGCGCTGCCATTGCTATAAATCCGTTTACGGCTAAACGTCACAGATGAGGGCCAGGCTCAGGCCCGGGCACGGGCTGCCGATGCCTGCTCCTACTGCCAGCCTGCCTGCCTGCCTGCATTTCATTGCCATTGTTAGTGCGGATGTCTGCAGCATAAAATAATGGCCAGAGAGCCAGGCTCAGGCTCATGCTCATGCTCATGCTCATGCTGAGGCACAGGCTCGTTGCTGGTGTTGGTGCTGGTTGGGTGGTGACCTTAACCCGCAACAAATTGTCAGAATGGGCACTGGGCGTGGCATGCGTATGCTGTTGCTGTCAAGGTTTTTCAGCGGCCTTACTCGTTGGCAAGGTAAAATAGCTGCATTGCAACGGCAATGAAATCCTTTTGCCGTCGCTTCGCTGAAGGTTTTTTCCGCCGTGTTCATTTTTCGCATATTTGACTCGAGGTAAAACTAAAAATTTGCCACAACCACACACACACTCACCCATACACACTCTCATGCACATGATTAAATTTAAATTATGACCGCGAGCGCAGCTCTTTATTTTTAATAAAAAACGCAAAAAAAAGCTTTTAAACTTTTTCACTTATTATATTTTTATGCTAATTGTTGTTGGACTTTTTTCAAAATGAAAAAAGTTTGATGGGCGAAAGTTTGTGAAATATGGCAAATGCAAATTGTACAATATGCGTCCATTGCTTAAACCCAATGCTCGATTGTGATGAACGCGCTCTCCAGTCAGCTGCTGCTCTTTTTATTATGCATTTCGCTCAGTGTAAATTAAAATAAAGGTTGACGAAGTTGTGCAAATGTAACATAAATGTATATATTTCTTATAGAACAGCATGCTGAGTCAATAAAGACAGACAATATTATTAAAGCGCAAAGCAATTTATTGATTAATTTCCGGAATCCTATTCTCTTCTATCTTGTATATAATAAAGGTTCTCGAATACTAGTTCCAGGAAACGGACAGTTTTGCTTTTTGGTACATTATTTTATATTCTAGAAAACTTATAGAGTGTCTATTATTCGACTAGGATCGTACAAGCTTACTCTTAAAGCCACCCTGATCAAATACACTTCAAAGCAAATTAAGAAAATAATTTCCATGGCGCATGAGACAATAGCAAAGTCGAGCAAATAAAAAAAAAAGAAAATATGATAACGGCATTAAGTGTGCAGCTTAACGGTACATTAGGTAAACAGTGTTGTCAACTTTGGTGCCGCAACACAACACACAAGACTGTGTGTGTGTGTGTGTGTACACATAAAACTTTCAAGTGGCTGTAGTAAAAACGCTCAGCCATTGACCCTGTCAAGGATGTGGCTACAATGGGTGACCACCCACACACCACCCCCTACTTCCAAGCAAGCCCACACCCACCCCCCGGCAGGGGTGGCTCTACTGCTGTTTGTTGTCCAAGTGTGCGTGCATTTGAAAAGTGACCGAGATAATTTTTGGCATGCTTTGTTTGGTTTTACTTTTGCTGTGGCAATATCAAAAAAAAAGTACCCATCTTCATTCACGCAGCCCCAAACTTCATACAATTTTGATGAGCAGCAGCTGTGGCTGTGGCTAAGCCTAAGGTTTGGATTCGGGCTTCTGGATCTGGGCCTACTTGTTGTTCAACAAACAACATTTATGCACTGATGGGAAGAGATGGTGCGGTGTAGGGGGAACGGCATTCGGCTTGTACCTTCATCAGTTCGCAAAACAAACGCAACGAA